AAATGGGTGAGGGCCCATGCACCTATGTGGGTAAGGGCCCTTGGACTGAAGTGAGTAGGGGCCTTTAAATCTAAGTGGGTGAGGGCCCATGGACCTAAGTGAGTGAGGGCCCTTAGACCTAAGTGAGTGGTGGCCCTTGGGCCTAAGTGAGTAGGGGCCCTTGGATCTAGGTGAGTGAGGGCCAGTGGTCTTAAGTAAGTGAGGGCCCTTGGATCTGATTGAGTGAGGGCGGTTGAACCTAAATGTGTGAAGGTTCTTGGATCTAAGTTAGTGAGGGCTCTTGGACCTAATTGATCGAGGGACCTTGGAACTAAGTAAGTGAGGGCACCTTGGATCTAAGTGGGTGGGGGCCTTTTGATCTAAGTGACTGAGGGCCCTTGGATCTTAGTGGGTGAGAGCCCATGGACCTAAATGAGTGAGGGCCCTTGGATCTAAGTTGGTGAGGGTCCATGCACCTAAGTGGGTAAGGGCCCTTGGACTGAAGTGAGTAGGGGCCTTTGAATCTAAGAGGGTGAGGGCCCATGGACCTAAGTGAGTGAGGGCCCTTAGACCTAAGTGAGTGGTGACCCTTGGATCTAAATGAGTGAGGGCCCGTTGGACCTAAGTGAGTGATGGCCCTTGGATCTAGGTGAGTGAGGACCAGTGGTCTTAAGTAAGTGAGGGCCCTTGGATCTAATTGAGTGAGAGCGGTTGAACCTAGATGTGTGCGGGTAAGGGCCCTTAGACTTAAGTAAGTGAGGGCCCTTGGTTCTAAGTGAGTTAGGGCCCTTAGAGCTAAGTGAGTGGGGGTCCTTGGAGGTAAGTGTATGAGGGCCATTCGTCCTAAGTGAGTGATGGCCTTGGATCTAAGTGGGTGGGGCCCTTGGACCTAAATCAATGAGGGCCGTTGGACCTAAGTGGTTAAGGCCGTTGGATCTGAGTGGGCGAGGGCCCTCAAACCCAACTGAGTGTGGGCCGTTGGATCTAAGTGAATGAGGGCCCTTGGATCTTAGTGAGTGAGGGCCCTTGGAGCTAAGTAGGTGAGGGCCCTTGGATCTAAGTGGGTATGGGCCCTTGGACCTAAATGAGTGAGGGCCCTTGGATCTAAGTGAGTGGGGGCCCTTGGATCTAAGTGGGTAAGGACCTTGGACTTAAGTGAGTAAGGGCCCTTGAATCAAAGTGGGAGAGGGCCCATGGACCTAAGTGAGTGAGGGCCCTTGGATCTAAGTGGGTAAGGACCTTGGACTTAAGTGAGTAAGGGCCCTTGAATCTAAGTGGGAGAGGGCCCATGGACCTAAGTGAGTGAAGGCCCTTGGACCTTAGTATTTGAGGGCCCTTGGATCTAAGTGAGTGAGAGCCGTTGAATCTAAGTGGGCGAGGGCCCTTGAACCTAACTGAGTTAGGGCCTTTAGATCTAAGTGAGTAAGGGCCCTTGAATCTAAGTGGGAGAGGGTCCATGGACCTAAGTGAGTGAGGGCCCTTGGACCTAAGTATGTGAGGGCCCTTGGATCTAAGTGAGTGAGGGCCTTTGGATCTAACTGAGTGAGGGCCTTTGCATCTAAGTGAGTGAGGGCCCTTGGATCTAAGTGGGCGAGGGCCCTTGAACCTAACTGAGTGAGGGCCTTTGGGTCCAAGTGAGTGAGGGCCCTTGGATCTTAGTGGGTGAGGGCCTTTGGATCTAAGTGACTGAGGCCTCTTGGATCTAGTGGGTGAGAGCCCATTGACCTAAATGAGTGAGGGCCCGTGGATCTAAGTGGTTATGGGCCCTTGGATCTAAGTGGGTATGGGCCCTTGGAACTAAATGAGTGAGGGTCCTTGGATCTAAGTGAGTGAGGGCCCTTGGATCTAAGTGGGTAAGGACCTTGGACTTATGTGAGTAAGGGCCCTTGAATCTAAGTGGGAGAGGGCCCTTGGACCTAAGTGAGTGAGGGCCTTTGGATCTAATTGAGTGGGGGCGGTTGAACCTAGATGTGTGTGGGTAAGGGCCCTTAGACTTAAGTAAGTGAGGGCCCTTGGATCTAAGTGGTTATGGGCCCTTGGATCTAAGTGGGTATGGGCCCTTGGAGGTAAGTTGATGAGGGCCATTCGTCCTAAGTGAGTGAGGGCCTTGGATCTAAGTGGGTGGGGCCCTTGGACCTAACTGAGTGAGGGCCCTTGGTTGTAGGTAAGAGACCTAAGTGAGTGATGACCCTTGGATCTCGGTGAGTGAGGGCCAGTGGTCTTATGTAAGTAAGG